ATCTTTCCTACATTGGCTTAAATAAGGTCCAACAACAGCCTTAGCAATCTATTTATTTGTTTACAGGCATTTCTATTGCACTCATTGTAGTACTGAGTGCTTCCTACAGTACACTAACGTCAGTACTTTTGTATCTCTTTCTCTAACAAATCCTGTTGTAGTTGTATATCCATCATTTTCTAAAGCAAAATCTGTAACCTTATTCAAAGACACATACAGGCAGCCACAGGCTATAAGATATAATACGGTTAAATAAAAAGCATGGTATGATTAAGTCACTTTAAATCAGTCTTTAAAAGAAAAAAAATAAAAGCCTGGAAGATTCATTATAGTCTATAAACCCATAGCGAGTAATAAAACACTGGGAGCACCAACACCCCTTCCCTTAAGCCCCTTTCTCCCAAGAGTTAACCCCTCCATAAAACTCTCCAACGAGTCTTGTCTGTTTAGAGCAGACTCCTCATTTATTTTTCCTCACAACTATAATTCTTGTCAACTTGCATTATACATGGCTCAGGAGATAGTTAAATGGGATACAGAGCCTTTCACCCCTAGGTCACCAGTTCAAATCCAGCCCAGGTTGGTAGTGACCAAAAATTGTTACCAACAGATGGCTGTTTGGAATCCACTGCGAACCTTCATTCTGGCAAAGTAAAGCAACACATATTCCAGACACATACTTTGCATTATCTTAAAAGGTGATGTCTATAGTTGGAAGTAAATGAGCTTCTACTCTTTTGGCTTCTTTACGATGTGTAAAGAAGTCCTAAAAGGATTTTGTCCTAAAACCAAAAAATGCCACACCTTTTTCTCTGCTTGTTTTTTTTTTACATTAGCAATTCTGATCTTGTCTGCCATTTTATGGAAACTGGAGTACTAGCGAAATTACAGCATTTTAAAAGATAGAAATCTGAGAAATTGAGGAGGAAAAGTATTTTTATTAGTTTTTGTTTTTGTTATAATTAATTTAATGTTAATATCCAATAAACTCTTGCGAGAAAAAATGTCTTTGTTAAAGAGTCAACACCCTTATCTTTTCAATTAAGATTCAGTTCAATGAACATTCACATTCCACATCTCTGACACTCTCAAGAAGTTCTTCCTGCAAAAATAAGCAAGACCAGACTTGCCATTCATGATATTTGTATGGTTTAAAAAAAACAGAGGGGAAAAAGCTTCATACCTCCTTTACACATCATAAAGGCAAAAAAAGAGGACAAATCTAATTTTAAAAAATCCATAGAATGTTGCCTTTAAGTCAGTGAAATATTTTTGTGTTACAAAACATGCCTGTAAATGGAAAAATAGTAAATTGAATTCAAAATAAACTATCCCATACACCTCACACTCCACTGTGGAAAAAAACTGTGCCTCATGGCTTCCAAGAATTTCTATTAATGTGTTATTTTTAAGTGCCCATCTGTTTAAGCTTTTCAGCATTTTAGTCAGTTTTAAAATTACAAATATTCTAATATTCAGTTATAAGCATTAGCTTGGACTATGTACAATCTTTCAGTAGCGATATATACTGAACTATTAGTAAGTATACTGGATTATTGGTACATGCCATGAGTTTGTGACATAAGAAGCCTATGCAGACGTAATCCCTGTTCCTCAGCTACTGTAGCAAAACTTAAAGAACATAACATCATGTCTGCTTGGCAGATATAAGATGAAGTCATTGAAGTCTCACTGCAATGGGACCAGAATTGTTGGAGCGAGGGAAGAGGAACCACAACAGCAGCATCACACTGACCCTGTGGAAGTCCCTCCAGTAGTACCATTGCAGTATTAAAGGGAACGTGGCTAGTGTACAGTCACTCTATGGCAGGGGTAGGCAACCTATGGCATGCGTGCCGAAGGCAGCATGCAAGCTGATTTTCAGTGGCACTCACACTGCCCGGGTCCTGGCCACCAGTCCGGGGGGCTCTGCATTTTAATTTCTTTTTAAATGAAGCTTCTTAAACATTTTAAAAACCTTATTTAGTTTACATACAACAATAGTTTGGTTATATATTATAGACTTATAGAAAGAGACCTTCTAAAAATGTTAAAATGTATTACTGGCACGTGAAACCTTAAATTAGAGTGAATAAATGAAGACTTGGCACACCACTTCTGAAAGATTGCCGACCCCTGCTCTATGGCTTTGTTGCCTGGCAAGCCACAGGAAATTACCACCAGAATTAATGTCAACTTCCACAGGATACCACTCCATGCCCTCTATGCTCCCCCACAGGGAAGACTAAGTCATAAGGAAACAATAGTCCAGGGATTGGCAACCTTTGGCATGTGGACCATCAGGGAAAGCCCCTGGCAGGCCGGGCCGGTTTGTTTACCTGCCGCGTCCGCAGGTTCGGCCGATCGCAGCTCCCACTGGCCGCGGTTTGCCGTTCCAGGCCAATGGGGGCTGTGGGAGCGGCGGCCAGCACATCCTTCGGCCTGTGCCACTTCCCGCAGCCCCCATTGGCCTGGAACGGTGAACCACGGCCAGTGGGAGCTGCGATCACCCGAACCTGTGGACGCGGCAGGTAAACAAACTGGCCCAGCCTGCCAGGGGCTTTCCCTGACGGTCCACGTGCCAAAGGTTGCTGATCCCTGCAATAGTCACACCGTTAATGACAGAGCCATACTACTGAGAAGAAAGGAGCCTGAGCAGTAGCATGAAGATACTGTCTCTCATCTTGAATGCTCTGAGGCAATGGTTCTCAACCAGGAGAATGTGTACCCCTGGGGGTACACTGAGGTCTTCCAGGAGGTACATCAACTCATCTAGATATTTGCCTAGTTTTACAACAGGCTACATAAAAAGCATTAGCAACGTCAGTACAAACTAAAATTTCATACAGACAATGACTTGTTTATACTGCTCTATATACTATTATACGGTAAGTATCACACTGAAATATAAGTAAAATATTTATATTCCAATCAATTTATGTTATATGGTAAAAATGAGAAGGTAAGCAATTTTTCAGTAATAGTGTGCTGTGACACTTTTGTATTTTTATGTCTGATTTTGTAAGCAAATCATTTTAAGTGAGGTGAAACTTGGGGTATGTAAGACAAATCAGACTCCTGAAAAGGATAGAGTAGTCTGGAAAGGTTGAGAGCCAGTGCTCTAGACCTCCATGGGATTTCAATACAGCTCTAAGGATACTGATACTATTAGAGGACCTCCCGCTTCGGCATTCCTTCTAGTGGGATGATAATGACATGTCCTAACCCCTACTCTGTTGGGCTGATACCTCTGTAATGCCACAGTTCTTGACTTGCAGTTTCCCATGTAACATTTCCTCTCCTGCAAATTTTTCTACAGGAGGTGACATAACCCTAAATCTTTAGAGGACTGAAGTTTATTTTTAGCTTTGAAGACTACTGATGAATACTCAATAATAGTAAAAAAAAACAATCAACCCCAAGAACCAATGGGAGTCAAACTACAAAAATAATAGATTACCTGAAATCAAAATGCTGCTAAAAAACTGCCATTGTAGCTCACTCGTGTGATCCCTCCATGAGTCCACTCAGTAATTTAACACCCCTGCCAATTATAAAGCCAGACTGTTCCTGTCCTGTGCAACAGTGCAAGGAAGTGAGAGGACATGACCACTTTAACCAGGGCCGGCTCCAGGCACCAGCTTAACAAGCAGGTGCTTGGGGCAGTCAAAGGAGAGGGGTGGCACCTGCGGCAATTCGGGGGCGGCAGGTCCCTCACTCCCTCTAGGAGCAAAGGATCTGCCGCTGAACTGCCGCCACCAATCGCGGCTTTTTTTTTTTTTTGCGCTTGGGGCGGCAGAAATGCTGGAGCTGGCCCTGACTTCAACTAGTGTGCTATATCACCACTTGCAGCATGCAGGAAGCAGCAGGCTCCACAGAACAGCTATTCTAGCAAGCAGAAAGTGATAGCTGTACGTTACGGAGCAGGAGCATACGCTACAATGAGTATAGATCCAGGGAGTTTACTTCCTCTTCCCAGAACAGTGGATAGGAGACTGTGACTCAAGGATTCAGTCTCCCTCTAAGGGCAGGTCTACACTACCCGCCTGAATCGGCGGGTAGAAATCGATCTCTCGGGGATTGAATTATCACATCTCGTCGGGACGCAACAATCGATCCCCGAATCGACGCTTCTACTCCACCAGCGGAGGTAGGAGTAAGCACCGTCAATGGGGGAGCCGCGGAAGTCGATTTGCCACCATCCTCACAGCGGGGTAAGTTGGCTCCGATACGTTTAATTCAGCTACGTTATTCACGTAGCTGAATTTGCGTATCTTAAATCGACACCCCCCCCCCCGTAGTGAGGACGTAGCCTTAGGCTGCTCCAAAGATACTGCAACAACATGCTGCCCCTTACTCTGAGAAGATTGCAAACCAGTGATCTAGCCCATAGGTAGTAAACAGCAAACACTAATCCAACTCTGACGTCTAGAGAATGTCTTTTAGAGTTCACATTTTTGTGCATATAGTAAAGAGAAAATCTTTACACATTACACTAATTGTTTCAAATAAATAGACTAACAAAATTTCTGCCACTAAAGGAAGATATATAGGAAACTGAATTATACATTTTCATGTACTGTGATAGATTACCGGGGTATTAATGAACCAAAAAGGGACCATTATTTTACCATTTTTACTGAGCTCCCTAAGGATCACTTTTATTCTTGGTCCTTAAATTGTTTTAGAGTATTAATAAAAGTTTATACTTCATGTCATAAAATATATTTCCATTGTATTCATGCTTGTTTAAGTAAAAATTGTTTTCTCAAGTTTCTTAATTAAGATCCTAGAATTGTTTTATTTTTCATGTAACGTCTGTTAATTTGTAATGGCATACTTGAAACAAAGGCAAGGAATGATGAAAAGACCTGACTATATGATTCACTATGTCTTGACCTTACTGGTCTTTATCAGTTTGTTAATAATTGTAAAAGACAAGCAGATGAACCCATTCATTAAAAAAGTTACACTTCAGTTATAGAAAGAAATTCACTCACCTTTTTACATTCATCTGCTCTTTTAGTTTGCTGTACATTTCCAGTACTATATAAAACAAAAATATTAACCCATTTAGATCTTATTGCAAATTAAATACTCTAGTTAATAAGAAAAAGAATATATACAGTATATACTTCTAATTTTAAAGTATATTATTTTAGTCTTAGTTTCACTTACACACTTTTCTCAATAACATATTACAATATGAAGACCAACTAGAAGTAGCAAAAAATAAGGTTCTAAATTGCAGATTAAGAGGGAAAAAAGTAAACTATTAAAGAGAAGTTAATTAGTAAAGAATTTAAAATGAAACAGTAGTTTCAAACATTTCTCAATGTAAACACACCAACTTTTGTTTAAATATCTGTCAACCAATTATGTTCATAGCACACCATAAAAAACCTGGGGAATGTCATTATGTATTATCACTTAATAGGAACAGTTCATAGAAAGGCAACAGTACCATCTACTGTCATTATCCTAAGTCACAACAGAAAGATTACGTAGTACAAAGGACAAGATTCAAACCTATCTGCCAACGTCAAAAACAGAAGTCAGTCTTTACAAATGTACACTATGAAATATAATGTTCTCCAACTATATACGAAACAATGTCTCAAAATGGTGCTGTTCTATAACATACTATTGTAATACTGCACAATGTTGAAAGATGCTACTATAAATAACATTCACAAACTTTTTAATGTTTTCCCTTAAATTTTTAACCACAGGAAAATAAATATTAAACAACAACTTCAAAGGTTTAAATGAAAACATATTTATTGTATGATAAAAATACATATGCTTAATTTTTTCGTACAATCTATGTCCTCTTGTTGTTAGCTTGCTAACAAAGCTGTATGATTACCCTATTACAATTATTATAGAATAAATATACCATAATGAGATCTAAATTTGGACACATCTGTAAGATCCTAGTAACTCTTCTGCTAAATTTCATGTTACAGAACATTGAAATATGAGAAAAAAAAAATACTTCTGTTGCATTTTGGGTACAATGACTTATCTCATTAGCTATTGTATTTAGCCAAATGTCACTATTGCATATATTTGTAACTCACCTGGAAGACACAACTGCAGTTTTTCCACTACTGTTGTAATATTCCGCTGCTGAATTCTACATCGGATGATTTCCTCTGTTTGGGCTATCACCTTAGATATTTTGTAAAAAATTACAATTAAATTATGCAAACAAATTTAATTTGCTGCAAATATTCAATTAAAAAACATTTTCTCACCTCTTTCCCAGCATCTTGAAGCCTTCGGTTGGTATCAGTAACTTGGACCTTAAAAATAATTTCACCTTTGTTAGACAAATATGCATATATTGCCCTGATGTAACTGCTCACCCTTGTAATTAGATCATGCTTCATGAGAAATTTAGAACAAAGAAATGCAAATTCAAATTAACTCTACAGCTTGAACTTGAACTTTTGATTGCAAAGGGCTTTTGTTAACTTCAATTACTTATGACAGTTCTTTCTAACAGATTCTGTGGCAAACTTCTCAAATTTACTTGGGATTTTTGAACTTTACTTGTTTCTGTAGGTCTGTCAAACAATTCAAATCATTGACCCAATTGACCACTGGTCCCTTTTTGATAACCTCAATGAGCTCTATGTGCCATTCATTGTCTGTAAGAAATGGTGATTGCATTTTATGGTAATTAAACATTCATACTTTGCTGAATGCAAACACTGGGTGGTTGATTAACATCAAACGTGGAAATCTCCAAACCACAGCAACATTTTAATGCTGCAGGTGCAGGCAAAGCTCGACCTCAGATTTTCCCACATATTAAGTGACTCATTAGGTCATCATAATAAGGAAGCACATTCTAGTTTATTAAAAATCTCATTAATTTCCAAACAAAGATGCTCAATGACCTCATTGACGCTGTATTTGGTCTCTTGTTATCTGAATATCCTTTATATAATGCTCTTCTAATCATAACCTCTGGTGAACTACGCTCATTCTGTCTGGTGTGCATATTTTGCTTTCCAAAGTGTAAAGAGAGCTAAAAGGGACAGGTCTCACAATTCATTATTCTGCATTCTGACTTCTGAGTAAACCTTAGTCCTCAATTCTAATGAATACCACAACACCACCTACTCTTTTGGAGAGCACAAGAACACTTTTTTAAAAATGTGCAACTGCAAGAGGAGGCTTTCCAAAAGAATCAAGATTTCTAACAATATTTTTTCTGAATCTGAAATTGAGAGGTCTTATTCATAATTTGGTAATCAAACTGAGAAAAACACAAGACCTATTATAAGAAATATTGCTTTTATCAATACTTTGCCTTTTAAAAGTCTTCCAGAATTACTTAATAAATTTATTTTTGGCAATGTTTTTTTAAAAAAATTATAAATGAAGAAATTAGAAAATGAGACCTAAAAATATGAACATGGCAAATTTATTATTATAGTAAACAAGACATTTCTGAACAGCTATACAATATCTGAAAATTTAATTGTAAACATCAGGATGTGTATGTACACCATGAAAGTCTTATCCCTTAAAGAAGAAACATTCCATCTAGTATTAATCAATATACACAAGTTTAAATAAGTAGTTTCTTACCTTTAATTTTCCTGCATCAGCCCTTACTTTAAGAAGTTCTGTAATAGCATCCACAAAGCCCTGATGGTGAAAATTACACATCTTTTCTATCTCTCTGTCATGGTTACGTATGCAAGCATCTAGTTTTTCCATAAATCTTTGGTGTGCATTTGGCTGGTCATCATATACAGACCTGTTAAATACAAATTACAAAACAGAACTTTCCTTTTTCTGAATAATTTAGTATAACAAATAGGGACCATTACTGAAATCTTAAGGTTTTCATCTTTTAAATTCAAACTTGATATCACAATGACATAATTTGTGATCCACACCACTGATATTATTAAACAAAAGACATAATTCAAAACCGAGCTCTGAACCTGACCCTTATGGCATTAATCCCAGTGCTTAACCAGTTATATCATGGTTGACCTCAGCCTCACTGGTCGGTTACTTATGCCCTTATGCTCAAATATGAGTACAAAAGACTCAGCTTCTCTAACCACTTCAAATAGCATGGATCACTTTTTCATCAAATTCCACTGTTTGTTAAATATAAAGAAGTGCAAATATACATATTTATTTTTCTAGTATGTCTAACAACAGATTTGCCCAATTAAATACATTTTGCATGACTCTAGCCAAACACAGTTAAGAAATATCCTGAAGCATTCAGCCCCCTAGTGGACTACAATCAACAGTAACTAATAAAATGAGATCTTTTTTCTCATAAAAAGATTTATATACAGTTCCAAGAGTGCAATAGGGCCAATATTTTAAAACACAGATGCATAAAGTTTCCACCTAAATCTATGCCTAGGCACACAAAAGTGGTCTGATGTTCAGAAATGGTGAGCCACCATCACTCCTATTGACGTCAGTCCTTTTGATAATCAGGCTGTTTTTATTTAAGATCCTAACTATGGATTTAGTTGCCTAATTTTAGGCATCCGGTTTGAAAACTTTGGCCATGGGACTTCACAGACAAGTAAGGAGTCTGTGCTGTTCTTCCTGAGCTGCTTATAATCCTACTGATGACATACAATTGAGGACTAAGAAGCAGATACAATAAATAGCAAAGTTGAAAATGTGATTTGTTAATTCCACCTGTTTTAATAAAATTTGGTTTTGGAGTTATCTGGGGTTTTTTTTGCAAGGGTGGGGGTTGGTGGGTTGGTTTGTTAATTCTTTGAAGGTAGAACTAGGATTTATAGGCCTCATGGAAGAATTGAACGTGTAGCTTGTTGAACTTGCTTAGGAGAATAATAGTCACATGAAGAAGGCATAGATTTCAGAATGGGCAAGGAAAGGATATAGTGGGCGGTTAATCTTTAAGCTTCAACAGAAGGTTCAAAGAGGAGTGAGAGGTATGGGCAGCTAAACAGCAGAGAAAAGGACAGAGTCCTTAAATCTGATCAGTGAGGGAAAGGCAATCAAAGGATTAGAACAGTGACTTGACATGGTCACAGTGACGGGCAAGACAGATGACTGTTGAAATGGCAACACAGACAATGCGAGAGTCAAGGAAGTCAGTAAGAAAGTTTTAGTATTGCCAACCCCAAGTGTTCAAAAATCATCAAACTCCCAAAAGTATGAAATTGGTTTAAAAATCATGAGATTTTTTTAAAACTGAATTATTTTAATTTGCCTTCTAGTTTTTGGCCTTTTCACGTTTTCAGGCTTTTTTTCACAACCAGAAGGGCTAGAAACTTACTATTTCCCTCCCAAAAGGAAAGTCGAGATTCTCACGTAATTATAGGTGCTGGAACTAGGGGTTTTGAGATTGCTGCCGCACCCCCTGGCTTGAAGTGGTTTCCATTATATACAGGGTTGCAGTCTGGTTCAGTGGCTCTCAGCACCCCCACTATAAAAATTGTTCCAGCACCACTGCATGTAATCACCTGACCTGGGCTTTAAGAAAAAACACAGAGATACTGTAACTTGGACAGAGTTTTTGGCCGTGTATTGAGACAGATCATACATCTGGATTTTGAGTACTTTATTCACAAAACTAAAAATATTTTCCATTTTGCTGACACCTATAGGCGAACAGTCATAGCACAAAAGAGAGCCTTGGACAGGTCATGTTCCATGGAAACCTCAACTTTCATCTCCCACATTGTAGTTGTTTATTGCACTGTTCCTCAAATATTAGGAAAAATAAAATAAAACCAAAATATTGAAAAAGGCTAAAATAAGCAAAGATATAGTTGTGATGGAAATCATCCCTGCATTCACACCCTACAAACTACTGTAATAATCTTTGTACAAAATATGCCTTGTGAGGTATCATTTGAAAACTAATAACTCACTGGTTGATAATATCATATTGAAACATGTGTAGTAACATAATATGTAAATGTATAAATGTGAGCTGAAATTATAACTGAGGTGTGTTTATCAGACAAGTCTGGGGAGTGGGCAAACCCATTTCTCAAAGACATAGGACAAGCTGATGTCTCTAGCCAGATGTCATCAAAGCTGATGGGCCATTACCTATCAAGTGGACATTCTTTGGCAAAGAAGGGGAACAAGAACAAACAGATCAGCATCTTAGCAAACAACAGCATGAAACCTCTTTCAACACAAAACTCCATAACTCCAACCTCATAGTGGGAATGAACTTCATCCAGGGGTAATCCTCAGGAAAATGCAATAAAAGGGTGACTGAACTATAAAAGTGAGGGGCAGAAACACCTCCAAGGGATCTCTCCCTATATCTCTCTCTCTCCTTTTCACCTAAGACAACAAAAGAAAACATTGGATTTTGGCAGCAGATCCTGGCTGAGTGTTTGGTCAGCAATGTTTCTGGAAACATGTGGTAAGGGACTTCACCTTGAACCAAGTCTAGTTCGTTAAGTTTAGTCTTTATATCTCTTATAACCATTTCCAACTTTAATGCCTTATACTTGTACTGATTTAAAACCTATCTTCTTGTAGTTAAATATACTTGTTTTATTCTTTAATTAAAACTAATCCAACATTGTGAATTGTTTGGATAGCTTCATTTTAGGTAACAGACTGTTGAATATTGATCCCCTTAAAGGGGCAACGGACCTAATATATCTTGACTGTCCAGGAGAGGGCTGGACAGCACATGACACACATTGGGGGGGGAAGGGTAAGCGGGGGGGGGGACCAGGATTAGGAGTATGTTGGGATCACTCTGGAAGTGCTAATCAAGGCTGGTGGAAGCCAGAGTGTGAATGATGTGTGGCTGGCAGGATGCAGCTATACACAGACATTCAGAGTGTTACCTGCATGCTGGAAGGCTGTTTGTGAGCGGCCCAGGTGGGAGTTACAGCAGCAAAGCATTGTGAGGCACCCAAGTGCGCAGGGCAGGGGTCACATAGCTCCTCACTGGTCTGGATTGCACCCCAGAATGTCATAATTGTACAGGACACTAGCGTGCAAACATTCCTGATATTTTAGTTTTACTTTTCTGCATGTATAAACAACAAGCTTTTGTTCTCTCTTACAAAATGAACTTTCAATACAGACATCCCCTTAAGAGAGTCTTCCTATATGATAGCATATGATTTCTTATTTCTGTAACTTACTATAAAAACTTAGCTTTAAAATTTTCAGAAAAGGGTATTTGCTATGAATGAATTTCACTCCAAGGCAAGCTTCCTCCCCCCCACCCACCCCATTCTTTGGCAAAGAGATTTAGCTTTATTCCTTTTTTTAAAGTTGCTGAGATCTCGAGTCCACAGAGGGAAAACTGGGAAGCACAGAAAATATTGAGGGACCTACTGAGACACTTAAGTGGAGATTCATATTGCTTTCTTAAGGTAGAGTCCATTTATTTGTCCCCAGAGTACAAGGGGGAAGTGTTAGCCTCTAGCAAAGTGGAGATTTCTCCCCTCCCTCCCACTCCCCCAAAGACCTACTACTGCTGGATTAATCTTTGAAGAAGACCAACAGTTTTCCAGTGTGTCTGGAAGGCTGTAGATTTAGTCTGAGGTTCAAGAATTGGGGAATGTAGAGTCTGGAGCCCTCTAAGTTTTTGTAACCATCTTGGCCAAGTTCTTGGGGAGGGGAAGAGTCCTATCCTTCCAAGTCTCTACAGGGAAGTATGACTTCCCATCCTTCTGAAATCCTTCTTCTGACTATACTCTCTGGGAAGCTTGGGGGTTTACTAGAGTCATAGAAACTTACTTGCTGAATAAAGCTAGAATTGAAATGTCTGACAAGGCCTGGCACTTCTGAGGAGAAAAGGGACAGAGAAGAGATGGCAGCTTCCCCTTCCTCTTATAGGGAGAGCCTTGAACTATTGAGATTTTTTTCCATTTTGATACCGACTTACACTTAGAATGTCCAGCTGGAGAAAGCAGCTGAAGTCAGAGGAGTAAAAGAGGTATTGAGCAGCCCTGCATAAAAGAGGAAGTTATTTTCAAGAGCAAGCAGATCCCTGGACTCCCAGATAGTCTGATCCACTAATACATGCAAGAAAGTGATGCAGGGTGCTGAGAACTGTACTCTCTAGCCCCCAACCACATCATGGACAAATCCTGTAAACTGCTTGACCTGGAGCAGCAAATGCTGTAGTACTCCAGGGTCCTCGTATGGGACAATCATCTGAGCACTATTCTGTCTCCGCTAGAAGAGGAAGGGGCTAACATGCTAGAACCTGGAGAGCAGAAACATAAGGGAAACAACTTTGCAGTGCATTCCTGGAAAGGGAATGAAAATGCTGAGGAGAAAGAAGCCACCAAAACACGGCTTGGAAGATATTGTGGACACATCACCTGCGCCAGGATATCACTATTGCCAAACTATGAGCATGTTGTTAAAGGAATTTGGACTTGGTCACACTTGTGGTATTTTCTGCCCATCAAGCAAGCTGGACTACTCTATGAGAAGCTGAAGCCATCTGCTAAACAGAAGATGAATTAAAGGTTGCATGTAGAGGCAGTGCTGGAGTGGGGGGTGGGGTAAAATCTCAGAAGCAAGCAATTGGTCACTCTGCTTAGCAAGTTCAACCAGCAGAGAGAAACCTATTGGGCCAGATTTTCAACGAAGCAGAACAAATTTGTAAGTTTTCCTATAATATATACTACCCAGTCAACTGTAGTATTGCTGGAAGAAGACCATGTTGGAAGGACAGTGGTGGGAACCTTGCACTGCCAGTTCTACATATAGCATGTGGACAAAGAAAGAGCTTCCTTTTCCAAGGTTATCTATCTA